GTCACCAGTGGACCACATCAGGCTTTAGATATTCCAGCTGTCATGTTTTATCTATCAACCATCTATTGTTTCTAATGAACACTTTGTCTTGTTGATTTATTTGCATAATGTTCAGTCTTTACACTGGATAAATTAAATAACAGCTCAGCATCAGTSATTTTGTGTTGGTTAATATTAAACCTGCAGCATGTGGCAGTCCTCAGGGTTTATTATTGAGACACTGTTACTTTTCTTGTTTAAAGGTCTCATTTAACCTTTACGTGTTAAACACCCACTGTTGAAGTTATTTCCAACCATAATAATAAATTTAACATCTTACACTCAGATGATGTAGATATACTTCAGTAAAATGCACCTGTGTGTTCCTGGAACATTTTGTTAATAGACGTAATTTTGTTTTTGATCTGTAATATCGGCACTATTCTCTCTTGTTCATTTGTGTCAGCTCACAGCGCTGTGGTTTCATCAGTTGTAAACCACATTTCAACTAAAAGCTGAAGCTGCCGATAAAAATCGGACCGAAAGCAAACAGCAGCTCGGTTTCACATCAACAGGAAACATTTTGGTTGAACCTCAACTCTGGTTCTTTCTTTGCACACAAGCAAAGAAAGAACCAGCATTTTTTTCTAACTTGCTGATTGTTGAAGTTTTTACTCTCAGTCACAGGATAAATTCAACCCAGCATTCATTACAACAGTTTTAAAGAAGTGAAGACCTAAATATATTAYATCTCTTACTGTGCTTTAACAACACTCACTGAGTTCCTGTACAGAATCATCAGTCCAGACCACAACATTTTGTACTCTGTGTGTAATAATACCATTTTTGCTTGTGTTTACACATCAAGCTCAGCTCCTTTATCAGACTTCTTGGTGTTTGAAGGTTCAACTCAGGACAGTTGTAACAGCACAGGCAAACCAGGCAKTTGCCTAGGGCCACAAGCTGAACCCCCAGGCATTGAGCGGTTATGTCGTAAACGCAAGGACAAACTGTATTAGTGTCCCTTTAAATTCTCTGCAAGAAAATGCAACAACACTGTTATCAGAATCCCACTCAAGGGGTCTCCTTCTMCTCACTAAAYGTACATGAGGTCCACCATGATGAGCCACACGCTCACATGACTGGCACTTATCTTAAGTGAGTGAAACGTTTGCAGGTCTTTGATATTGTGGTTGTGTGATTGTGTGTGCAATATGCAGCCTGCACTTTATTCAGTTTTTGTTTGTATAAAATGTGTTTTTTTTTCATGTAATAGT